CAAATCCAGGAGGGCTTCTGCTTGAACCTACATATTTGAATTCCCCTGGCAACACTAACTGCAGAATGAGCACAATGCCCATTGTTTACATGCACGGCTGCCTCAATCCTACAGAGAGGAGGAGCCAAGGTAAGAGACGAAGGCCATGCTTCCACAATTGACACAGCCAACCCCAAGGGCAACCTATCAAATGGTTTGCCAGATGTTGAAGGCATTTCAAGCCTACGGCTAGCACAAGAACCTCCCAGGAAAAAGGGCGAGACTGACAGAAACCATGCTTACTGATCTAGAGTAAGGCCGCAACTGCTCGCTGTCAGCGACTGCCGCGTGCCACGAGCACAACCGCGATCATCATTGTCTTCTTGTTTCTACAGGTCAGTGCGCTCGCGGCCACCAATCCCATACTGCCCTCTCCTATTCGGTGAAAATGTAGAGAGGGACGTGATGCCGGTAGCAGCTAGCCCTGGCCACGACGGACCGCACGTGGCACCTAAGCCCACATGCCGATGCAGTCAGTCGACAACTCCTTGTGGGATCTAAGGGGCTGCCAGCCTCTTGTGCTGTCTCTGTAGGTCTCTCCACCTTTATGACAGGCCTGCTGCTTGGTGCGCAAGGCGGAAGAGCCAGAATGTACACACTTTCCATCGTCCTTGGAACCTTTGGCTCCAGCACTAACCAACCTGGTTTTAGCTTTTCTTGCCTGACCAATTCGACCTTCACTTGATGCTTCTTACCCTTGAAGTGTCTCTCGAGCTCTTCGGCGTGAGTGAGCACTGACGTTTTGCAGATGCCATCTTCCGTGGTCGCCACGTTGCATTTTGTTATCTCGGTGCCATCAGCCTGGGCGCTGTCTTCCGCACTGTAATCGTGCGTATCACGTGCCGTCTCGTCATGCACTGCGTAGTTGTCTGTGACATGATCCTCCCCTCTATTGCCTTGAGCACACTCCTGGCACATGCCCTCGGCATCGTCCACATCATGAACAACCTCTGCCTGATCGACGCCTAGTTCGTCCCACTGGGCATCTTGCAGCACGCCATCGCCCTTCTTGTAATAACCTACTCCAATGTCGGCACCTGCTTCCCAGTTCTCAGCGGCCTCTCTCTCTACGCAGTCTTCTACTTCGGCGTTCGCATCAGCGACCTCCTCTCCCCGATCCCGAGACTCCACAGCCTATTTGAGGTCTTCCGTATCCTCCACAGCATCACCGTCGTGCTCCCAACCTCCTCATCGCAATGCTGAGACCCTTCGCCCTCTCCTTCGCCCTGCTGGGATTCTTTGGCCTCTTTTTCGACAATCTCATCCTCCACCTCCGTGAACGCCTCAGCATTCTTGTTCTCCGCGCCTTTGTCGGCGCACCCTTCTTCGTTTTCCAGAGCTGCCTCATCGCCCACTTTTTTCGCGTCTGCAGCGCAAGTTCCCATCAGCGTCTTTCTCGGTCTCGCCAGCCATGGAGTCCTCCTCCTCGGCAGCCCTGTTACTGGTTCTCGTGTTCCGCCCCACATTAATGCCCGGCACGTAATGGTAACTGTTTCTTTTCATCCTTTTCCTCTTCTCCCCAATGGCACCATTAGTGCCATCGGCAGCTTCTTCTCTGGCCGTAGCGTCGGCTCGCATCATGTTGTCCTTTGATATGGTGCCCGCTGCCACGCCTACAGCGGCGGCGTTCTCCTCGCTGGTCTCGCACTCACCGGTCTCTTTATCACCTCCCTGGAACTCTGCTCCCTCCTACGCAACGATCGCCATGACCAGAGGAGACGGCTCAATACTCTCGACCTGAGAACTCGCTCGTACCATGCTCATACCGAGGGTCGCTCCCTCGTAATTGTGAGGCCGAGGCAGATGGCCGAGGCACAAGGGGCCCGAGAGGAACGTCAGGAGGTCGTGGCTCGTAATGGTGCTCCCGAAAGACAGCCTCCTCAACTTTCGGAGCAAAGCGAGCAAGCTCCTTGAGAGAAGGGAAGGAGTGGCTCAACAGGTGTTGCTGGAAACGGGGGTGGCATCGCTGCATAACGTGCGAGACCTTGACGGTCTCAGGAGCAGTCGGGTCAGCCTGACGGAAAAGCTCCAGCATGGTCGGACATCGAGCTCGCGCCAGACATGGTAGTCGTAGGTGATTGGCAAGAACTCTTCCTGGAATGTCCAGACGAATTGGCCCTAGACTGGATGGGAAGTTGAAGACGCTGCCATCATTCTGCGGCACCGAGCAGGGCAACTGATAAAATCTGCTGGTGCACATTGGACTCTGAGAAATTGCAAATGGTCGTGTATACAAAAATGTCGTCAATGAAATTGACCGATTCCCTCGTGTCTTGGCTGGAAAAGGTGGGTGGGGTCAGCGTAGTTGTGAGGGCCATGGTCGCAGTCTGCTTTGATGTTCGCGGCCCAGGGGCGGGGTTTTTCTCATTGGGCGCCAAATGCAGGAGTTTCCAGGCTGCGGCTAGCCCGAGAACCCCTCAAAGAAGAGGCGGAGACCGAGAGAAACCATGTTTACTGTTCGAAAGCCAGGCTGCAACTGCCTGCTGCCAGCGGCTGCCACGTGCCACGAGCGCAACTGCGATCATCGTCTTCTTATATTTACAGGTCAGCGTGCTCGCGACCGCTGCTTTTATAACGTGAAGTCCATCGAAAATTCGTAGCCGCGATTCCATTTCAGCATGCAGAATTATTTTGCCCAGTCTGAATTACCTTTGCCTAAAAGTTTACATTTTAGTCTTTACACACTGACTTGAGTCAAGAAGCAGCACTCTTCACATAGTTGTATGTGAACCTGGTTTACAGCAATACTACCGACCAGACTTTTCTTGACCATGCAAAGAGTTACAAAGACACGAATGCAATAGAACAAACTCTTCAGCTTAGTAGCATTGAACACAAGATAGAGGTCAATAGGGTCATTACACAAACTGAATGAAGTCTACTAAATGCCTAAATCTACAAATGACACAATGCCATAACGAAGAACCAATGCAACCTATTTTTCCTCTGATGGCAGCTTGAACAACGAATGACCAACATGTTTCTGCTATTGGAACGTTTTGCATGAAATGAGGTCACGACTACAATTCTAAAACAATGAACTTCCCACAGAATAAAAGTGCAACTTTTCAAAGAGAAGAAAAGAGCTTACACAACGCTGGCTAGCAGCAAGAACGTTGTCATCTACTACTCTAGACAATAACATCAGGTGATAGAGTCAAGACAACTTTCGCTGTCTGAGCATAGTGCGCTCGCAAGGTGTCGCAACATGACCATGACATGACTACCACTGTCAAAAATTACTGCAGTTAACGCCTCAGTAAACTCAATGAAAGCATTTAAGAGAGCATTCAACTGAACAATATCAGCAATGTATTAAATAAATATGAAAAACTGCTATCAATATACACTATAGACAGAAGATAAAAATGGGATTCAGGTAAAAAAATGAGAGGCTGTTACAATGAACACCGCAAAAAGTGAGTTGTCTTTGAGAAATACAGTGAAACTTAACGAAGACAGACACACATAGAATACAGATGAGCGCCGTCTGTTTTCTACACGTCTCCTTGTCTTCATCTAAGTCGCGCAGTATTTGTCGGAGTATGTGCAAAGTCAAGGTGGTATTTGAGCTGTCTCGTTTGTTGCGCTATTTATTACAATTGATTGATAGTAAGTCGCACAAAATATTCAAGAATCGAATTAACATGTGTACGAGTGTCACTTTTTAGTTCAAGCTGGAAGCAAATTCCAATAGTGCGTTGAATAGTAATACGATGGGAAGTAATAAGCTCCAACATATCTTACATTTTAAAATTTCTTATACTTGGTGCTTATAAACCTGCATGACATGCTTTTAAACTTCTGAAAAAAAAATCACAGCATATCCACTGACTAATTGATGATAAGTGGGGTGAAGTGCTGGAGGGTTTTATCGCTATACCGAGAAATACCTGAGAATATTGGCCACTACATCATCAAAAACGTGACAAAAACGGTATATATTTATACAAGAAATTTTATTATTTGTAAGTGGTAGCTATACGTCGCTTCTGTTCCCCCTTCATTAAAACGGCTTTATGGTCGGTGAAGTGGTGGATTGGTGATAGGGCGTAGTGGGATGTTTGTAAGGACGAAGTAGTGGGCAGTTGGCAAAGGTAGAACTAGGGCAGTCACGTACAAACAAAGAATGGACATAGTGCGACAATCTATGGTTCTTTAACGACAACTGGATACAAGTACACGACCATCTTGCATTTAATATTGGCTACTTCTCAACAGTATTTGCTTTATGGCCGGTGAAGTGGTTTATCGGTGATGGGGCGTTATGAGATGTTTGCAAGGACGAAGTAGTGGGCAGTTGGCAAAGGTGAAACAATAGGCGGTCACGTACATACATATATACATACATATACGTATGTACATACGTACGTACATACATACATACATACATACATACATACATACATACATACATACAAGGAATGGACTGACCTAAACCTTCAGAGCTTCGCCCCTAAAATTATTACTGAAGTGCAGGTGACAAGCACATTAAACCTCGAAGTGTGGCTTTGTGTCAGTGTGGATTTCCCTCAAATAGGCGGCTTCCTGGCATAGTGGCTTAACGCAACAGTGAAACCACTTTTTAAGGCGTGTCACATGCGGTGAAATGAACCATTTTGTTAGAATACTGAAATATTAGTTTTGAATATTCGAAGCAGTCAAACCAGAAGTATGTCTGGTTTTAATTGTTAGCACACATTTGTTACCACTGCCACCACTTCAATGTGAACTCTATAACTGCATGCACTTTACTCGTGTTTGTTCCATTGTAGAACCTGTACGGATCAATATGTACCAATACGTGTCCTCTATTTCCATTGCATATTAGTGTTTCTTGTTGCTGTTTGGCACGATGGCATTACCCAGCCTTTATTTATCTGCCCCACAGAGATCCTGTATTGATTTATGCCTCGAATAAATGAAACTAGACAACACCAACACAAGTTGCAAAAACCCACCTTCGAGACCGGGCTTGAAGTTCTGGTACATCCAGTAGCGGTACTCTGAAAAACAAAGGGAGAACCATGGAACACTGAAGAACGAATCTGTTCACTAATCTGTTTCTAGTGGAAAAGTGTACTCTGATAACTTTAATGTTGTTAATTTCCCGCAAAGTTTGAACAGCATGACTGAACACAGACAGAGTTGAACACGCACACAAACAGCACTGCATGTGCGTGAGTGTTCTACTCTGTCCACATGCTCTGTTGAAACTTAGCCTGATAAACCAACTAGCCCACCAACACACTGCTAATTTCACCATTCTGATTATACCAATCGAAGAGAAAATCCAAATCAGAGTTCTGTTTTAAAATTTTACACTGTAATCTCTACACTTGAAGTCCTGGAATTTCAAAATGTATTTATCGTATTTAGGTGCCTATCATTCAATGAAAGTTTCTGAAACATGGTATGTTAAGTCTATGACCCCCTCAGAAGTCAATGTACTTTATTATAGATGCGAAGTAGCTTATGGTTGAGCTCAATTTAGTGTGTGTGACCGCCCTTACTACGCATGCACAACAGCTATCCTAAACACAGTCACACGCTAGCACATTCCGGCGTCAGGGAATGAGATTCTACAAACATGCAATGAACCCATGTGCTCCCCCGCGGCGTGGTGATGAACTCACATTGTGTGCTCCAACAAGAGTTCTGGACGTGTAACAGCGACAAAAACTACAGTGAATTCACGGTGTGCTTCACTTGCAAAGACACATTAGCAACAGGCAAGGTGTCCGGGTGGACGAAACTTTAGTCGACCCATGCTACTCATAGTTCCCTTTAGTCGTAGATGGTGTAATTATTTCACTAAAGACTATGTAAGCCTTAGTTAACACGGTGAAAATCTGTGCTGTCACAGTGTTAGATGCAGAAACTTCAATGTAGCGTCGCCACCTACTTTTTTGCATGCTTTCTCACTTACGAAGTGTCTTCTCATGACAAGCGTCGTGATTTTGAAATTGTGAAAAAGTAATCGACTAATAATACCAAAATCATTTGCCTCCTCAGTGTCCCTTTAAGGAAAGCATACAAAAAAAAACTAACACTGGCGATAACATATATCAAGAAACGTTGGTTCCAGAACACGCTGCTAAGCATGCTACATAAAAAAAAAAAACTTGCAGGGGGTTGCCTGCAGAGTGACTGTGGCCACGGGGCAGTGTGTTTTGATAGCCGCTGTTATTCAGGTCCCCCAGCCTCTGTTTGACAACTGTGCTAAGTTCATGTGGCTGGCTGAGTGAGGTGTTAAAGTGCCCATGAAATGCTGCAGCCTATTTAGTTAATTGACTGCTCGCTTGGGAGGAGCACGATAGTAGTACACAAGCACTCCATTGCGTGGGTTTTTTCACACTACGTTTCTTTTTGCAACATGACAAAAAGTACACCGCTAGATATATCCTACAGAAAACAATTGATCCGTGGTTTCTGAAAGTTCTCTACAGCTCTGCAATAATTATTTGGGTGTTTTGCCAATAATTTCAAATGCTAGATAATAAAACACAGTAGTGTATAGAAATACTGCACAACAGTCGCTGGGACAAAGTTAGAAAGGAGACACACTACAAAGGGAACCTGACAAATGCACTCCCAGTACAGTTGTTCCATTAAGTAATTTCCAAAAGCATGGTATTTTGAGCATGCAAAACCAAATAGCGCAATACCTCACTTTGCTAAACACACTAACAGGTTATTTGTGAGGAAAATAAAACGTAGCCCGAGTAGCTACAGCTTACTGTCAATAGCATGAGTTTGGCTCAATTCCTTTCCAACACTAAGGCTGCATGGGAACCCCTGTAGTACATGTATATACACTATTGCCTGCAAGTGTTCAATAACAGGAGAGCAGCCTCAACTTCTATAGAGTCTACCATTATGCAGTAGAACCTCGATAAGTTTCGGAGAAAAAAGCAGAAGATAGACCTACAATCTGGGAAAATGTACTGATCTGAATGGGTTATTATAGATGCGAAACAGCTCATTGACTAGCTTGTGTAACGCTGTCCCATGAGTCCACACAAACCACCTCGCTGCTGATGTTGGAGCGGTGCCAAGTAGCTAAAGTTGCAGTTGCACGCTCACGTCACTCTCTCTCTCTCTCACACCCAAAGCAGCTGCTGGCTCCCACGTCTGCAACGCTCGACCCCACGTCGAGTGGAAACACTAGATCAATTCAGTTACAGACGCAGCCGGCTAGCTATTTTGCAATGGCAGGACATGCCCATACGGCTGCTGCAGACGCACGACTAAAAAACTTCTCTGCTGTTCTGGCTTGTTTATCTGCGATAGAACTTATAAGAAACCCAACCCACCTCCCGCGTCTTTGCGTTTGTGGGGTCTCGATGTAGAGAGCACCACGCTCTTGGAGTGAACGGACACAGTAGACACGGTCAGACCGAACCAAACAACACACAGCTATTTAACTACTTTTAGAACGACAATATCACCAGGCCGAATTATTACATCAATTGTGATCAAAAAGCTAAAACAACCTCACACAGCATTACCCAACATTCAACAACATAACAAACACAAGAACACACACAAGGTGGCTTCGCCAACGCTCGACTCACCACGAGGGCCCACGGCAGACGACCCACGGTGCATGTTCTCCAAAGCTTTTCTGACTTCTATCATTACTGATTGGGTGCCATCAGGGTGGCTGCTAGTTCTTATAGTATTAAGGTCGTGGTTGTCCCGGCTACTGTACAGATCTCTGTAAAACCCCTCCGCTATTTCAACTATTCTATCCATATTGGTAGTTATTTTGTTTTCTTTGTCCCTTAGTGCATACATTCGATTTTTCTCTATCCCAAGTTTCCTCTTCACTGCTTTGAGGCTTCCTCTGTTCTTCAGAGCGTGTTCAATTCTCTCCATGTTATACCTTCTTACATCTGATACCTAGCGCATATTAATGGAATTCGAAAGCTCTGTCCGTTCTATTTTGTCTTTTGTACAAGAGCCTTTCATGCTTTACCGCTTCTTAATTAGGTTCATCGTTTCCTGGGACACCTTGTTGGTGTCCTGCCTAACTACCGTAACTACCGTACCATACTTCCACTGCATACTTTGTAATGATACCCGTCAGTTTATCATACATTGTGTCAACGTCAAGGCTGGTTTCTTCGATAAGAGCAGTGTACCTGTTCTGATGATGCCTCAACTATGGCTTTTTCGTTGGTCGGTTGGTTAGACCCAAGAGGAGTGGCTCATACCTACACAGGGGGATCGGCCCCACCGAGAACATTGTCTTCTTCACACGTTTGTGCTGTGCCTCTTGAGCAGATCAGTGGCCTTCATTGTCGTCACTAGCACACAGCGAGATGGCAGGATGGCACAGCTATTGGGAGGGTAATGAAACAAGGGCGTGGAATTACCCTCCGGCCAGAGAGAGTGTCGTCTCGGTCCTCACTGAGCAACAGTCGATGCATAAGTGAGCCAGGAAAATGGTCATTTCCATCACTAGGAAAGAACAAAATTGGCAAATCCCACGGATCTTAGGAATCGACTTTATGTGAACATGCGGATAAAATGACGTTAGCTACACGCACTACCAGCATGAATTGTGGTAGACTGAAATGCTTCATTAGTGCACGATTATGATTACATCCGCACACATCACGAGCATGCGTACATCTGTGAGGTATCTGTGACCTCCATGTGTCGATGGGTCATGAATACGGAATGATGATGATGTTTGGTGCTTTGCGGCGCAAGGGCCATTTGATGGCCAAAGAGTGCCAGTTCATGGGACAAGAGATGTGGACAATAATTGTGATTTAGGGCTGTATAAGGGCCTAGAAATTCCTTGCGCTAAGGCGGGTAAAAAGATAGAAGTAATAAAATCATCACCATGCCGTGAAAAGTGTGTGGTGTTAATGGATGACAAAAGTTTGTGATAATAAGAACCATGGTGGACATATATGGCATTAGTACAAGTGCCTCGATCAATCAAACCCTTGCTTCCAAGAGCCGCGAGGCAAGTGCTTTGTTCAGTGTAGCCATCGCAGCGGAGACTTTCCCGAAAGGTCATGCTACGGAATGCCCGGGTATATGACGTGCAATGTACGGACGTCTCTCAAAAAAGCCAACAACGATTTATGTGTCAAAAGTAATTCCCTACTGACAAACATTGCAGGGTGAAATGGTATCTGTTGTCAGTAGGGCAACAGAAAGTAGTGTCTACTCAGTGTGTATAATTGTTTACACTGGACTAAATGTGAAGTACGGTGAGTGCTTCTCCACATCTATCACACAACTATGGATCGCCACCAGACAAAAGATATGAACGTGTCGTGTATGTATGTCCTGTTATTAACCTTGTAAATACTACTGTGTGGCGTGATTTCGATACTGGTGGCCAATGACCAAGTTGCGGCTTGATGACATGCAATTTATTACCTGTGTGTGCGTCCCATGTGCTCTACCTATAAACCTTGAGCTTTCGTTTTAGAAAAGGTTTCAAGTCGAGTGCAGGCATTGGTATCGATGTATTGGTAGCGATTTCGTTGGCAGATCCAGCTAGCTGGTCCACCAAAACGTTGCCTAGTATTTCGCGGTGCCCTGGCACCCAGCAGACAACAACATGCTGCTTGGATGAGTAGACCGTGCATAAAAGCGAATAAAGCGAGACAAGGACAGGCTTTTTGTGCTTTTTTAGGAGTTTTCAGCGCTTCTATTACGCTTATGAAAACTGTATATATTATTGCCTTCTGTAGTTTTATTTGTCTAATGTGTTTAACGGCCGCAAGTATCGCATAAGCTTCGCTAGTAAAAATGCTTGTATCAAAGTGCAGAACGCTGGCTTCTGAAAAGGATGGGCCGACAACTGCGTACGAGACAGAAATGTTGGACTTTGAAGCATCCGTGAAGAACTCAGGACATGTGTATTTCTGTTGTAATTTTAGGAAGTATGTGTGAATATGTGCAATTGGTGTGTGCTTCGTAGTCTCCGAGAAAGACACGTCGCAATCTATCGCCTACCACTGCCACGGTGGCAGGC